GCCTACAGACGTGGCAGAGAATAACGGCACTTCCTTTGCCGCTGTTAGCGCCAGCATGCTCACGACGCCTTCACGTACCGCTCGTAACACCCGATTATCTCCACTCGTCCAGCTTTTGTTCAAGTGCGCCCTCTACATTGATGTCAAAAGACAGGTCAAGACATGCCGTCCATAATTTAAGCTCATTAACTGCAAGCGCAACTACTGCGGGGTGACAAATTAAAGGAAAAATGTTTACCCTACACCTAGGCATTTGTTGACGTGATTTGGGTCTACTTGTTCGTTTTAGAGAAGGGAATTTTACATTGTGGGCCACATACAGCCCAATTTCTGTGTAAAGAAGTTTAACTACACATTTAATCCCTGAGATGTCTTAATATATGAAAAAAAAAGTGCTATTTCAGCAGTACGTCTTGGTTTTTCTGCATTGCTGTGGCCGTAAAATGAAATGGAATAAAAATAAATTGTAAAAAATAAATGTGTACACTTACAGAAAAAAGTCTGTTGCTTATGTCTTGATATTCTAATGGACTCAATTCTTTATTTGTTAGGCCTGGGTATCATCTAGAATGTAAAACTGTGAAATTTTGACTTAAGTGAGGAATTTTGTGTCTCATCTCATCTCACAGGCAATATCATTAAGTCATCTCACTGTGTTGCACTATATATGTTGCATGCTATCTGCACCACTAGAGGGCGAGCTGGTGTTTCATGCTTGTCATAACAACATCCTGGATCTTTCTTACAGTCCTGTGGGGGGGAAACAGCAACACAAGACCGTTTACTTTGTAATGTTTTGTATATCAGGACAGAGACTGAAAAAGTCATATAGAAAACGATTCCTTTATATTACTGCTAAAGATGGATTTTCAAGCTATTGAATCATGAGGTGTGCTCACCTTTTCACACACAGCTTTGGTTAAATAAATAATGGAATAGCATGTCATGCACTGTTGTTTATTAGAGGTTGAATCTACCCAACTAAGACCTACTGAGGACCATTCAAGGGAGGGACAACTTTGCATTTGGTGTGATAAGAGCCTGATGATCATGTCCGGTAAAATGGATGGCACATTATTTATTTCTTAGCCATTAGAGACTGAGAAACAGGAAGAGGAGCCCCAAAACTAGACCAACATTGCCCCAAACACACCAAGAGACTTCACTCTCTTGTATCCACAGTGACTCTCCTGCCGGCTAGGTGTAATGGTTGTAAAGACAAATGAAGAATGCATGGTCTGACATACAGAGATTCCTTCATTTGTAAGAGAGACCTATATGGACTCCTCTGCACCTTTGAGCTTGTCCATTTTCACTGATTAAAGCTGTAACACTAATGAAACAGGATTGGGATTTACATGTTGGTCATTTTTAATGATGATATGTCAAATGTATAGCATGCGCTTTCATTGACGTCAATTCACTCAAGCGCTTCAAATCCACTGACATAACTCACCCACGTGTGTATTTGTATAACAGTGACATCTACAGCCCTGACGTGACACTGGAGCTACAGATGGACGCCAGACTGGGTCTGGTCTTCCAGTCAGAGGAGCCATTTTCACGCTTTCTGACACTGTGACAGCCTGCTGTGAGCTGGAGGGTCCTCTGAGGAATGTGACTAAGTAACTCAGCTGGGCAAGCAGTTCTCATGCATACACGAATACTTGGGCTATCTATACGAGCTGTTGTTGAGGTGACTAAAATGGGACATTTTCTGGGTACACGAGGGTTAGATTTGACCTCTAGCCCCTTTGGTGACTGTTGCACTATGACAATGTGTAACATAAGGCTTCACAGAGGAGTCATCATCCTCCACAGTTGAATCTCTTTATTGCACACATTTATGAAGAGCTGCCAAACTCTGGCTACACACAACAGTTTTGATTTAAAACAGACCTCTGCTCTGAATTCTGAGCAGCTTTGTGTTGGATGAAAACAGAGGGAAAATAACCAGTTTTGCAATTCAAATAGATGTTTTGTGTGCTGAAAGCAGTGTGTTATTTACCCCCATACATACATATGTATTATCAGCCCGACTATGGAGTTAATGGACAAGCTTTTTGAGCAGTTGGTGAACAACAAAAAAAGGCATCATGGCCGGTTTTGCATGATTTATAAAGTGATTAAGACTATCACAACTCTGCTGCTCACACCAAATGATTTATTTTTCCATTCAGTCGCACAACATTTTCACATGTTCACTCATCTCACACTTCTTCTCACCCACAAGCCTTCTCTTCCTTTACCAGACATGCACAAAAATCTATTGTGTGGCACAAAACCACACAACTAAAAACTGCAGCACAGCCCTATTGTGCCTTCTACACGAGTCTCTTTAAAAAATGTTTAGTGTGTTATGATCGATCGACTAACACACACTGCAAAAAAACTTTAGGCAAGTCATAACAAAAGTTTGAGCAGAAAAAGGGGAAGGAGTTGGAGTTAATGCAATCCAAGAGATAAAAAAAAATAAAAAAAACAGAAACTATTAAACTGAAAAAGCTGGTTTTAGACTAAAACTGACAACATACACATGCATACCTTGGTTCCACAATACTAGATCAGTCAGAATTAACTGAATGAATTTGAAATAGAAGTGGCTTCAAAGCTTTTTACCAATTGGTTTCCTATTTTTGTCCCCAAGTAGCTGCATTGCATTAATCTCTGAAGCACTACTGATGACTGGTGTGGTCTTATGCATGCTAAAAACTAATACAAGTAGTTATATACTAAAAAACCCAGACTAAACAAAGCTGAGGAAATATGCAGTAGTACAGGGAAGTTTTTAGTTTGCCTTTCTTTTGAAACATTCAATACATGCTGTTCCTGATGTCACAGCCCAACTAGAAGGCGAAGACAAGACGAGGTGGTAATTTAGAAAAAGACCATTTATTTACACGAAACATAAACTAAAGGAATATGTGTGTATCAGTCAGCAGTGTAAAGCATGCACTGAGGAGTGGCAGAGTATGAGGAATGCAGGATAAAACCAAAAACACATGCTGTTGTTGAGCTAGTCTGAGTCTGGGAGACACGGAGCGAGAAGAGGAAGAGAGCTTTAATGAGCCCAGGTAGCACGTTCAGCTAATTACACTCCAATTATCTCCTGCAGAACAAAGCACAGCACAAAAAAAGAGAAACACCTAGTGCCTAATCATTACCAAATGTAGGTTTAATAACTGCAGCAAACAAAAAACAAGATGACCAAAGATAGTTTTATATTCGAACAGTGAATTGTTGGAAATTGAGGACAAGTTTTAGGTTTTATGTGCTTCTTAACATCGCCCTGCAGTTCTCTGAATTAGACTGGCAAGAGTGATGTTCGTATAAATAAATCTGTGCATGAATGCATTTTTCCATGCGTGCTTTAAATTGTTATTCTAAAAAAGTATGACCACAGTCGGTGATTTTTACCAGCCTTCCTCACCTGTACGGTCCAATCCATGCGTTTCCTTTCACCGCATGACGTTCAGTACTGACAGTGATGTCCAGTTTTGAACTAATAAACCCAAAGATTCCAGGAACAGGATAACAAGCTACCTTGTGTCAGTGAATGTTTGATTTAATGGAAACAAGAGCGAATCCCTGGTGTACTAAACATATGATGTCAGCACAATGTTTAGGAGTGATGCAGAAAAGGCTCGGTTTAAATGACACAAACGCTGAGCCAGCCAGGTCTCAGAACCACTCAAGCCTAAAAACTAAATGCAAATGTTAATGTTTAGCCTTTAATCACTGATTACATTAAGACAGGCTGTTCCAACACTGTTTAGTGTGAAGTGGTGCAGAAATCCTATTCTTTCCTTATACAGGACACCAAAGTTCATGAAGCAAGAGTGTTGAGTACACTATGAGTCTGACAGCGTCGGGGTCACAAGGTTAAAATACGATCACATTACTTGCTGTGCTTGACCAAAACAAAGCCTGAAAGGAGACTGATTCAGCCAGAGGCCTTTATTCACAAACCTCCCCACATCCTACACAGGGGTCAGTGAAAATCACCCTATTGTTACACACTGAGCTATCTGACCCGAAGCCACTAACCTTTTAAATCAGTATTAATGACATCCCCACAATCAATCTTCCACAGTATCTGTAAAGGAGATGATTATATTAAAGAGTCCTTTAACTGAATGAGTTACTCACAGCCAGGAGGGAGATACTGAATAAAAAAATAAATATTTAGATGTGTCACATTTATCATACAGCATTTAAAGCTGTTGTAACTTATTTACAGTAACAGTGAAAGAGATAAACAAACAGTTGGAATTTAAGCATTTCAGCATGCAAAGTTAGCAGCTTCAGAGCATAGTGGAATGTGTAGCTGACCCCTTACCAAAAGACAGCTGAAAGGCAACATTAGTCTCCTGTTCCAAAGGAAAAACCAGAAACACAGCTTCACCTGTGCTTGATGCGAAAATCACATCAAGCCGATTTTTAAGTAATTTAAACTCCAGTGCTGTAGGTCCAATTCCAGCTGCAGATACAAATCTCCTTTGGGGTTGCATCAAGAAGCTTATCCGGTGTAAAACTCCAAATGAAACATGTGGCACCCTCATGGCAAGGGAGGAATTAAAATGGTATCAATACTGCGTATACTTCAAAAAGTACCTCAAATATGAAGTCAAAATTGTTCCTTAAAGTACTTTACAATGATGAACTCGAGGCATTCAAACAAAATGATCATTAAAAAATATCAAATAAACCAGGTAATTTAAGTATTTTAATGGATATAGTTGATGTCCTAAGAGAAATCTTCAATCACACTATTCCTAAAGACCACAACAATAATCCTTCTAATTGCACTGCCATAAGACTTTGATGGAAAGGCTTTAATCTGCAACAAATCCTATTAGCAAATGCCCCAAGGCCGACTTTAACTAAGTGTAAGTTCTATGAAAAATACAAAACGCATTAGATCTGTGGTTCATGCACTGTTTTTCATATGCAGTATATCCCTCTGTGCTTTGTGAAACAAAAGCAGCGATCTGATCAAGATGCATTATCTGAGGCTTGACGTTCGAGGCAAATTAACAGTCTTCAGTTTCAGGAACTCTGCGCTGCGTTCTGGTAAACTTTTAGGAAATGACTAACGGTCATTTATGGATGAATAAGCGTAACTTGGAATGTCCACATATCCTCTAATGCAATTCCCTGTAACGACATTCACCAAAGCTCCACAACCAGTTTGTTTCTCTAAACAAACTAGAGAACACATCCTAGCCAGGCAGACTGGTCAGAAAATAAACAGAAAAACAGAAGAAATGGCCTGATTGTTCCTTCTTTCAGAGAGACCTTCCAGTGAAGAACACCCCACCTCTGATCCGGGAGAAACTCCCAGGGCGGATATCAGCCGCACCTCAAGTCATGAGTTTTCTCTTTTTTTCACTTAAGTGAATCAACAGCAAACGCAAAACAAAAAACAAAGAAAAACACGCTGGTAATAGCTAAGATGGCAGGACACAAGAAGGATGGACACACACACCACACACACAAACACACACACCACCCCCTGCTTCTTTTAGAAGCAGCCTCGTCTCCAGGGTGACTGAAGACAAAAAAGAGGCCTTGGCACAGCTGGTCTGTAGCGACAGAGAGACAGAGAGGGAGGAGGAGGAGGAGGAGGAGGAGGAAAAAACAGTGAATGAGTGTTCAGATGTACAGACAGGATAGCGGGTGAGGGGGAGAGAGACACAGCGAAAGCAGGGAAAGAGTTGATTTGGAAACTAGTTGGAGGAGGGAGAAGGGAGGGGAAAGAGTGAGGAGGTACGCAAACTCTCTGAGAAAAGCAGGAGAAAGTGAACACTCTCACAGGAGGAACAGTTGTGGTCATAAAAAAGAAACGGCTGCTGATCTGCTCAAAGAGTCATATTACGTCCAAACATCCAGTGCTGCTCTCTCTCTCTCTCAGTCTGAACTGAAGCAGGCTAATTAGATGAAGAGCAGAAGACCTGCAGGCACCACAAACTAACTTATGAGAAGAGAGAAAGAAGAGGGGGAGGGAGAAAACAAGCAGGAGTAAAAGTCAGTGAAACGTTCTGGGGACTGTTTACTTCTGCCTTTGGCTCTGCTGTCAGAGAAGAGTTACCAAGTGGAAGTAGTGGCACACATTTGCTAAAGAGGTAAGAGCTTTTTCTTGTCTTTGCACATGTCAGCTTTTACTGTGCTTTATGCCAAGTTTATACAGACTAACATTTGAAGGCCACACTTACTGTACTTGTCATTCTCAAATGGAAATGCTTAAGTGCTGTAAAGTAAAGAAAACAGGTACTAAATAAGCAAACTTGTCTACATGAAGCCCAAAGAAGGTGATTTCTTTGATTTCTGTTACATGTTTTACTCTCGTTTGCGCCTTGCCAAACATAATGTGAGTGCAGCGGAAGGACAAAGACAAGAGGTTGCAGTGTGAAGAGGGTCAGCAGCAGAGGCCTCACATTCTTCAGCCTCACTCCAGCAGGTGCTTGGAATCAGCTGGAGGAGCTGCTATAAACAAAAAGAATATACACATATATTCGCCCAGGGTAAAAGTATCTGTATTTAGGCACTTATGATGAAATAATGCAGTGTTTGGGGGTATTAAGTGTTAAAAGCACACTCTGTCATGTGGAACTGACTGTCAAAAACAAATATAACAGGAAATCCGTTATGAACTGCAGACTGATGTTTCATGACTAAAGCAACAGAACATGTCAAGTATGACAACCACAAAAAAAAAAAGAAGAAAAAACTATAGTACTTCCTGATCTGATAAAGAATAAGAGTCGGTAGAAATTCTGAATAATCACATAGTTTTACTTAGAGTTACGCACACATTAAACTAAACAGATTTAATAGATTAGTACAGTACAGCATATGTGTGTATGCATCACTAATAAACAACAAGTAAGGCTTTAATATGCTTTAAGCTTTAATATATACAGTTTGCAGATCACCGTCATCAGTTTTGACGGTAGATGTGGTGTTCCACAGGGTTCTGCATTGGATCAAAAATTCATTATTTAGTATATTAATGATATAAGTGCAGTGTCTAATATATGAAATGGTTGAAAATGACATGTTAAATCTGCATAGGTACTGAATTTGTTTATGCCAATGAAAAAAGGGGATATTAGTATATTAAATATATCTAAAATCACTGTGTACACCACTATGTGGTTGTACAGTTACTGAAAGACCATTCTAAATCAGTAGTTAATTAGTCATCCTTGGAAATGAACATACACCAAGATATACGGTGTAATACACAACACAAAGACAGAAAAGCATCAGAGCAAACAGTTGAAACTAAAAGAAACAACACGGATATACAAAACATTGCATCCATACATAAAATAGTCAAATGGTAAAATAGATAAATTGATAAATCCAGTAATCCATGACAAACTTTTTTTTAAACATTTTTGTGACTATGTTGCCTAGCAACAAACAGCAGGGCGTCTTGGGTATCGTACTTTTAATGTTATATTTAATAGCTGGATATTAACTGTTCAACTAAATCAAAAACAGTGTTTTAAATGTTTTTACTTGGAGAGTGTCCCAGTGTAACCAGTGTCAGTTTTATACACCAGTCCTGCTGCGCTTCAGCAAGATCAGTTAACTGCTAGTTAGCATTATATATATATAGCATTACATTAGCTTGGTAGGCGAAAAAACTAGCATTAGCTAAACTTACCTATACTCAATGCAAGTCTCTTAAATATGGGTGAGGGTTAAGACAAAGACAAAAAAAAGTAAAAAAAATAATTTCGTAAACTTAATCAAAACAACTAAATTAGAGAGTTTGGCCAATCAAAAAGTAAATGTAAATCTTTTTTTTTTAACTGTTTTGCTTTTTTACATTAAAAAAATGCTAGCTTTACAACAAAAATGGATAAAGCCGGAAGAACGCCTTTTGTTTCTAGATTTATCACAATTTATTTATTTAACAACTATTTTAACATTATATGAAAATCCAGGGCTTTGAAATTACTATGTGACGTGTTTTGGCACTGTGTTAAAGAGACTGGACTCAATCAGTACAGACTTGGTTCCACACAGGTTAGTCGGCAGGTTTTTTTAGTTCATTTAGAATTTGTCTTCAGTGTCCTGTCGTGTTCCTGTGCCCTTATCGCCTCTGCAGCTTCTCCCACACACAGCTGCTCCAGTGCTGATGACAGGCCTCAGTTTTGAAATGCCAGGCCTGAAATAGTTAGCCTTGTTTATAATTAAACTGCACACGCAGGAAGGTTTCTCCTGTCTGTGGATACAAACACACCAGGCCTGACACAAGCCTCGCACACAGTCTGTTCACAAACACGTATAGCCTTGACATGTGGTCTGCCAAATCTCACTACACATACAGTAGACTAATTAGTGGTGCTGATATATAATGAGTGAGTACTTGGAAAGCATAGAGGATTTAGAGATTGAAAGAATTAAAAAAAAAAAATCAGGCTTGAGGTGTAATTGCAGGGTGGAAGAGTAAAATCGGAGCAGTCCAGGGTGGAGCTGAACAACTTCTTTTTTTTTTTTCATTTCTACATTTAGAGCTCTACTGAGGCCTTTTTCTTTTGGAAAATCATTCATATCATTTTTTCAACTCCTGCACCCAGAAGTCAGCATGGACCAGCAGCTGCAAGATATTTTTCGCAGGGTGTGGACCAAACTACAGGCTCTCCCAGAAGCAACTCCAGTGGAAGTGGGAGCCTTTGCCGTCCTCCTCCTCTTTATTGGTGAGTTTTAAGCACTGATCCATCATTCAAAATATGCCACACAAGGCGAAATTAGTGGGACAATAAAGTATTGAATTGAATTGAATATGTAAGTGGAATTACAAAAAATCATTTATTTATTCATTATGTAAATCCTCTGGTTTGAACTTCACCCGTGTATGATAAATGCTGAGTAGTTATTTCATTTCCACCTCCCTCTTGATATTGGAGTGTGGAGTGGATATAAAGTAAAGAAGTGAAGTCGGTGGCCGGTGTAATGCAAGACAAGTCGATCCAATCATAGGGGTCCATGGCTGAAAGCTCATTGTTGCTAACATGGATGACATCAGGAGCATTTCAGCAGTGGGTTGGCAGCGATGTAGCTATGCTTAGACATTTCGCCATTACTAGTAAAAGTAAACCAAAGCAGTCTAGCTGCAGGCCTCACAAATAAGCCAGTAAAATAAAAGGTACTTACATGTTCTATGTGGCAGGTGGGGAGTTTACATGTAACTTTATCATACATGGCCATCTAAACCAGAGGCCTGTTGTCACAGTTTGGCACTGTTGAAGTCGACCTCAATGCAGGACTCAGGAGACGAGACTTGAACTCAGAAACAGCTTTTAATGCTGAACCATGTCCATACAGGGAAAAAAACAACACGTAAGGTGAACAGGGAATTGACTTGGAGGAAACACACACGCAGGGAACACACTGCCACAAGGGGAGAATGCAACAAATAACAGAAGGAGACGATAAAAACACACCTCGTGATTATGGAGATTACCAATTTGACACAGAGACAGATGATAAACACATGGACAAGATAGAAGGAACAAAATGGGATTACAGAAGGGGATTAACAAACCTATCATCAACTAAAGCAGACAGGGGACTAATGGCAAAGAAGAACAGGAAACTTGTAAGCACACGGAGAGTAAAGATAACACCATAAGCAGAGGGCTATGGAGCTCACACACAGTTCCATCACAAAAGCACAAACACAGAATGAACCTTCAGAGCAGGAGCACTGAACTAAAGGCACTCAGGAATCAAAGGAACGAATAATAGGAAGCTAAATGTCAACACTAAAGAATACAGAGTCATAAAGATAAATAAGAGTACAAAGCTAGAGAAAACTCAAAACGACCCTGACATCTATATCACTAGGTTTTGGATTTATCCAGATAATTTTAGGGTTAATCGTGGGTTATTCAGTAATATGAAGGCAGTTTACATAAAAGGTGGGCCATATGCACGGTTGGAGATAAGAAACCATTAGGTGTAAAATCAGCAGTCAGTTATTCCATACAGTAGGTCTTTTCAAGTCTTACTGACCACTTAAAGCACACAACAGTGCTTTTTTAATAACACACACATCCACGCTGGTTTGCCTGCAGCAGCTGTGTTTTGTGCTTGCATTTAATAATATAGTTTTATGTTCTTCTGTAAAAATCAGTCACTCTGCTGCCAGTAGACTTATCCACTTTAAAAGAACATGCTTGTAGCTAGATTGATAAACTGTGGGTTGACTTGTGGAGTTGATAACCTCCTTCATGTGCCCAGGTACACTGAGCTTGCCTGAGTATGCTGTTCTTGCTTCACAGTATAGGACCCAGTAATTGTGTAGAAAATTTCTAGACTCAAAATTGTCTCCCAGCTTGTGCTGACCCCACCCCGTGACTCTGTTTTGTTTTGTTTTTCTCCCTCCTGTCTTGTTTTTCTCCTCACAGCCACGGTTCTCTTCATGATATTACTCTCGTGCATCCACTGCTGTTGTTTTACGAAGCCAAAGCACCAGCCCTCAAGAGTTCAACCCTTGCACAACATCTGAGGAAGAGACAGGACAGAACACACCTAGAAACATCATCTCCATCCTTCTTCGCGCTTCTCTGGAAGAATTAAGTGGGTATCAAAAACAGGCAAGGATGGGAAGTTGGTGCCATGATATTTCCAGTACTCGATTATCATCCAGAGAGCCACACCACTGCAATGCAGCTGAAAGGCACAACTCATCAAGATTCATTATAAACCAGAACAATGTAACACTGTGTGGCAGAGTTTCATTGGCAAAGAGACACAACAACAAAGCTGATATGTCCTGAAATGTCACAGTGACTCAGTTATTACAAATGTGGTTTGCGATGATGTTCACATTCAGGAGGAATGTGGGAAACAACACGGACAGTGTACATTCCAACATGTATGTGTGCTCTGGGCACGAAGTTCAGCAGAAACATAGCTTTGTTCAAAAACAAAGCGCCCCCTGCTGGCTCAGTGAAGCAAATCGTGCCAATGGAAAATGTGAACTATTCATTGTTTGATGCCACAGTTTTAAATGTATTCCCGTTATATTGTAAAATAGTAGTGTGACATACAGGAAAGTGTTTCTGAGACGCCACTTTTATGTGTTTTTGCTTCTTCTTGCTTTTGTAAATGTATCAGATGTTAAATACTTTAATTAAATAAACATTTCTTTGTTCTTATACCTAATGTAGTCACCACAGTCTATAAGAGCGAGGATCAAAATGTCATCAGTGACTCGTTGCTCCATCGTGCACATTCCTTATCAGCAGAATTCCTCTTTGCCATTGTGAGTTTAAACATTAACCATGAGCTGTTGCTTTTACTTTGAAATGGCAGTCACCTGGAAATGCAAACAGGAACTGTGCTATGTTTGCATATTCAGAACACCACTCCTGCGCTCGAAGTGAAAGTAAACTGTTATTTTGGACTATTTAAAAAATCCTTTCTAGTTCGGCTTGTGGATCAGAAAAGCAGCTAAAGAGTCGAAGTTTTCTGTTGTCATACTCTGCTGTGTTTTCACGTTCTGTTAAGACTCAGTGAGCCGTTCACTTGGCAGGACATGGCGGTGGAGAGGTGAGTTTCTGAAAATGAATATGCTCGGTGACGAAAGGCCTTAACACCTGCAGATTAATGGGCCGTGCCAATAAAAATATAACATATCTGTTGCTTAGATATTTGGAGTGTGAAATAGCTTTTTTAGTTGGCAGATAATGTGCTTCTTTCAGCTCTTAGTGCCAAATAATGGTATTAATAAGATTGTGTGAGTTGGTAAATATCAGGGCAGGTTTACCTGGTTTTCATCTGGTTGATCATTCTCTATACAGTGTACTAGACCAGCAGAAACCCACAGGGTCACCTGAGGACTGGGTGGAGTGGTTCCTTCATCGTATGCATCAGGAGCCGTGGGCACTGGGTGGTATTGCCGTCATTGGAGTGTTTGTCCTGGTAATTCTCTCTCTGGTCATCTTTGCTCTGCTGTATGGATGCTGCTGCAGCTCAGGAGACGAGAAGACAAAGAGAAGGCAGAAGAATTCAAAGGACAGAGTCATTTAAGTGTGTTCAGATAAAAGAGAAAATGTACACTTTTCCACTTTTGAATTTCTTTGCTACATAGTATAGGACTCTTTTTTTAAAGGTTTCTTCAACCAAAATTTGAATGAAATTAAAATGCCCATATATTTTTTCAGTATCTGCAAAAATGGCCTGACCACATCACAGACGCCAAACCATTGTTCCACTTTGTAACGCGTCATTGCCAAGCAGCTGATTGTAAGAATTGTAAAATGGTGAATGGACTGCATTTTCTACTCTGAGCGCTCAAAGTACTTTTCACTACAAGAAGAAAATATTTAAATATTGCAGTTGTAAGAAAAATAGCCACTAATATCATAACCCTATTACACTAATAACTATTAAACTTTTTCTTCTAATTTATTCCAAGTTTGACTAGCATTTGTGATTTGAAATGATCCACAACCATTCTGTCAAGATACACAAATGTTTGTGTAAATTCATATGTTTATCTGGTGAACTTTTTAGGCTCACACAGTAAAAACTGACTGTTTCGATGTGATTTCAGTGTGATTACACATGAACCAGGTTGACGGATAATAAGACACACATGAATTCAATCCAGGTATTAAGGAAGGAAGGTAAAAGAACAGTGGAGGGAAGTAAAAACACAGCCCTGTGAGAAACTAACCTTCAAAATAAAATGCAAAGTGAACTTAAAGAATCAATACCTGTAAGTGAAACAATACCTAGAAATACCTGGTACAACAATAGAATGAACGCTGGACATAGATGTACAGTTACCATTGTGAAAATCTGAAGGGAAAAGTGTAGTTTGGGCAGAAAGTCGGAACTTATGGCAAATGGCATGGGATAATGAAACAAAAGGGAGACATTTATATAGGGTGCAAAACACAATAGAAGCTAAGAGGAGTAGCGGATTGCAGAGACATGAGGAGGTTGTTGTCAGTTGCATACGAACGGGTCACTGCTTTGTAAATGGTACTCTTTTCTCGGATGGGGAAACATCCAACTGGGTTGTGTGATGGGTGCACTGATATGGAGATGGTTGAGCATGTACTCCTTAGTTGTAGGAAGTATGTAAGTCACAGGAGGGTGATGTGGGGTGAAATGAGTGGTGGAAGGGAACTTACATTTGAACAAGTGGTTAATAAGTTAAGTCATGGTGAACGGAAAGTGGTGGTTTTTTGAGAAGTACTGGTCTCATCAAGAGGATCTGAGGATTCAGGAGTGACGGACGGTTAACAGCCAGGAGATGGCAGTAATGCAACAGTTTTGGATGCAAGCTGCCGTTAAACTTGACTGAAGAAGAAGAAGAAGAAGAATGAACGCTGGCCAACAAAATGACTACATTTCCCAGTGGCAGACCAGTTCCTTCGGTGTGTTACCGTTTTGATGACGTCAATATTCTGCGACCCACCGTTTATGCGATACTACACAGAAATGGCGAGCGGTAAAAAGAGTACGCTGCTGTCGTCTTTAGCGGTCTATGGAGATGATTCGGAGCCCGACTCTGACCCTGAACAAGAAGAATCAGGTATATAAAAGTATTTAACTTCCTTTCATACGTTTAACGACTATGAAATACTTTGCTGTAGGTCCGCCAGCCTTACTGCGGAACTTCATGTAGGAGCTAACGTTAGCATGTAGCTAGTTAGACGATCTTCATGTTCATGTTGTTTTGTTCGTAAAACATAATATGCGCATATTTCGCTGGATGGTGTTTTTTTATTGAGAGAAACTGTTGCCAAACGGAAATTAACATGCGTCTTTAGTTAACGGAGGAGGGTGCGTTTTGTGTCAGGATACCGGGTTGTGTTCTTGACTCCGAGATAACCTTGTTCACTGGTGAGATAGGCCCTTACTCAATTCTCAAGTACGCGAGTCCGGACTTGCCGAGAGCACGAACACGGATTCGCGATTTGTACAATTGGAACACCAGCGTACTTGATGCTGTCACAGGTCCGGAGTTTTTACTGCCGTCCCTTTGCCTGTTTAAATCATAAGAACTGTCACTACACAGAGATGTGCTTCTGAATGTGGACGATGTGTCTTCTGCATGCAGTAATACAGTTCTGCTTGTGTTGAATGATGTAAACAAACAATCGATCTACGCTCTTCAAACATCAAAATTGATCATTTGATTTTTTTTTATGACACATCCTCTGCTCTTTGTAATTTAACGCAATCTTTCCGTTTTCGTATTTTGGATATGATTTTTGAGTACACCTTCGCAGTAGCAATCGACTCCAAAATAAAGCTACCGGAAATGTACAACTCTATATCCCAGTATATTTTCCCATAGTTGTGATCCACTGGCAGTTTTCATGTTGGCCTTATTATGTTTATTTCTCATATCGTCCTTTCTTAAAGAGCCAAAGCCTGTCTGTTGGCACACAGGGACCAAATATACTGATTTGTTTCTGGATTGCTGGATTATGACTTGTGACATAAGATCATTGTAATCCTAATTTTACTAACCCATATTTCAATATGTTAATGGACAGAATAATTATCAGATTAATCTCAAATTAAGTAGTCATTAGCTACAGATGGATGTGCGTAATGTACTCCACTGGAAGCAGCTACACCAGTAGTAAAACCGCTTTACATTAATAACCCATTGATAAAATATACATCAGTATAAGGGGACCTTTTTGTCCACTGAGCTCTTCTAATTTTAAAGCTTAAAGTAAATTTCTTGAGAGCGAGAGAAATATGACATGTGGTTGTTAGTTGGCACAGAAGCTTTCAGAGCAGGGATTCATGAGTAAGTGCCAATTTAGGGAGTCGGTAAAGTTTTCAGAGTATAGTGACCATTAGTGAGGTCCCAGTGTTGCTAAGCTTTAGTCTAGGCAATGAGGGCTAGAACAGACAATTTAAAACTGAGGACGAACTCTTTCTTTGGCTATTTCCTGTTGTCTCATAGGCTGGCTTACTTTGAGGTTTCAATAGTTAGAATGATATCACTCAAAATTAGTTATGTGTGAAATAAAAGAATGATTTTGCTGCCTAATTGATTTCTTTTACTTCTGTGTCTTTGTGACCCCCCCCCCCCCCATCTCGCATCAATAGGGGGGCGTGTAGGAAGCCTTGTATATCGCTATGATGAGGATGACCTGAACCAAACTGTGGGCCCAGAAGAAAAAGAGTCTGCAGATGAAGACAGCAGAGAAAACAACTCGGTCAGTTTTGAATTCTGAGCTTTCTAGATTTTATTTTTACTCATCAATCAGTTCCATTCCACTGATGTCTCTAGCTGACAGAAAAATAGTTCACGTGTTGTGTGCTCTCGGAGTATGTGGTGTGTTTTGAGACATTGAATCTTCACTGAGTACAGAGGGGTTTGGAAGGCTGATTGCTTGGTTGGATCTGCATCATAATCAGGATCTCCCCACTACAAAATCAGCATCACCAAAGTACTTTTTTCCCCTCTTTTCTTTAGTTTTACGTTCACATTATTTGATTTCTTATAAGCATAAGTGCAATCTTCAACATCCCCCAAAAGTTGATTCTGTTTATCTGGATGTAGCGTTTTCAGTGGGAGAAACGTTTCGTCACTTATCCAAGTGACTTCTTCAGTCTTGGCTGACTGCAGGTTTCAGTACATTTGCATAATGACTGAAACTAGCACGCCCGAAGGAGCAGTGGACTGGGAGATCAGTTCATTGATCATTAAGATGCAAATTCTCATGACCATTGATCAAAGACCACTAATCAATGACAAAATCTTCAACATCAAAAGGCTAACGGTTGGCTAAGACAAACCATGGTTCCTCCTTTGTTTGATGTTGAATGCCACATATGTAGTCTTATCCATGCTTGCTTTATGCTTGACCTGGGATTGCACGAATCCAATCTGTGGGTGGTCACTGACAGCCTGTCTGCCTGCAGAGAATGTTTGTGGTCAGATGGAGCCAGGGTTAAAAAAAGAAACTTGTAATACAACTGATCTTTGAGCTATCTTGTCCTGTTGTTGGTCTGTCAGCAAGCTTCAGAAAAGACCGAACTTTTAATGTACAAAGAGCTGAAGATTAACAGTGTTTAAAATCAATGAAGTGTCCACTGCAGGCGCTGTCTGTACTTTTACTGTTTTTACAATCTTAGATTTTTCCACGCTTCTCCTATTCCCGGTAATCTCTGCTGTCACACCCCTCCCTATTCACTTGTCAACCAATCAACATTCACATCCAGTGACGTGTATTTGGGATTTTGCGGTGGCAAGTTTGTGATGGGTGAAAACTTCCGTCTGTGCTCTGTCCAAAAGCAAACCAGAACGCAGACTGGCACATTTTTGGGACAATAAATTATGCTTTAGTTACTTGTTAGTTTTAGAGCTTATTCTTAAAGTGCTCCATTACAATGCTGTTTGTTTTCTCTGGCATCTTTGTGCAGATTACATTAGCTCACCAAAGTCACAATATAGACAGTGTTGTTAGGCTGAGAGCGGGTGCAGAGCAGCCATACAGAGCCAAGAACATATACAAGCATTATTATGAGAGCGGGTATTAGTGCTTTACTTTGTTTCCCCTCCATACTATTGCTGTAGCCACCTTTGCAAATGTTTTAATTTGCATCAAACTTTAAATGAAACTGTAAATCTTTGAAGTGTTCTTTGGGCACACATGTATCACACTCTTAACAGGGCTTGCAAAATTTTTCCAGTCAGGCTACCAAAATCTATCTCTGCCCTGCCTGTCGGGCTATCATAGGAAGGAAAAATATATGTCAATGCTTTTGCATTCTTTCGAAAATGTAGCTGAGCAATTATGTCATTGGCATCGGTGAGCCACTGTCAATATGTGACACATTGAAATCGCGTTTGAATTTGCGCTTGTTTTTTGCTTTCACTTTGCGACCGCGTGAATGGTGTATAGAGAGCTTCAGCACTGATTGGTGAGTGACGATTAATTGCGCACCAATTCCTCTGACGTCGTCTTATCGGTGATTAGCTTACTATTCAGACATGACAAGTGAAATCTCCCGCAGCAAGCTTAAACATGTGAGAGGTTGATTGCGCAGAGAATCGCTGAGCGTTATGTAAGTACGTGTGTAAAAGCAGCAGGATTTACGCTGGTGTTTTAGTTCTGCTCAGCCAAATAAGACAGGTCAGGGTGAAGAAGGGACAGCCAAAGAAAAGCCGACCACAAAACGGAAAAGTTATGACAAATCAGACAATGAGACAAAAAAAGCGCAGCTTTTTTGGTTTCATGGACAAAAGAATTTCTGTTGGAATATGACGAGCTAAATAACATGATGTTCTGCCAGGTGTGTTGTGAGTTTCATTCGATTTCTGAGTCGACAAGCGCCTTTGTTACTGGGACCAGTAATTTTAAGAAAGACCCCATCAGAACCCATGAGAAATGCAAGAAATGCATTATTGCTCAGTCTGCAGTATCTTTCCCGGAACAAACACCAATTGCAAAAACATACTAAAAATAAACCAAGCACAAGAAGAAGTCCTGAAAAATCTGTTTAGAACAGCGTGCTATGTTGCAAAGAGTGAACTACCACTGGCAAAATTTAGCAGTCTTTGCAAACTTCAAAAAGCAAATGGCCTCGATCTTGGTTCCACTTACCTCTGACCCGTGACTCCAGTGGAAATGTCATATTCAGGATCTGACACAGACTGATTCATGTCCTACACAGTTCTTACAAGTTCATAGAAATTTCTGTTCAATGAGAACCAAGTATTTGAGTTGATGATTGTAATTTTTATACAATGTTGTGATTTGTATTTTAACAATTTTTTGATTAATTTTTGTTTCTGTTACAATATTATACTTTAATGTATAATATTGTAACGGAAACAAAACATAAAAAAATTGCTCTCTTTTTTTTATTCGGGCTACCTAAATTTATTTTGGGCTACCAAAAACTGAAGAGTGCCGGCTCAAAGGGCTACCAGAGATTTTGAAATTTTGCGAGCCTTGCTTAAGTTGCTAGAAATCACAGTCAGCCTTACAACCTCCCAGAAATGCTTTATTTAAGGCCCACTTGTAGATGAAATAGTTGACTAATAGGTTTTCAGCCCAGTGCTGGCTGTTGGTCCTGCTGCTCGGCTCCCCATTATGGTCTCTTTTCCTTTTTGCCCCTTACAGTGTTAACCTTCTGCATTTTTGTTTTTATAGGAAGTGGACGAATCTGACGAGGGGAGGGACGCAGATGACTTTGAGGTATTTGAACACTGTGGGATTGATTAGATTTAGTGATTAAGCCTGATTAGTTTGTCATTCTGTTTTGTGACTAACCTGAAGCACAGCGATGGCGGCCACAACATGCAGCGATAGAGCATATTCACTAGATGGTGCTGTGGGTTCATGGATTTGAAGTATGCTATGAGTCACTGATGCATCTTCATGTGTGGCTTAAAGTGAAGAGGCGAACCAGCCGTGTTGATTCTGTAAAGCACACTACTTGGACCTTCACACCATACTAACCACACCCTTTGTATGTGTTTTCAAACTGTATGAGCCAGACGGTGTGCCAGCTTCCTGCTGCACTGTTTGGCAGAGGATGTATAGCTTGACTGAGGCTTTGATTTACAACATTTCTGTGATGGCTGTCTGAGGGGATTTTGTGAGTTTTGCCTGTTGGTTATGCCACATCATGAAGTGATGGCAATGAAAGGACATTGCAGTATGGTAATGATAACTGTGGTTCATGATGTGGTTTCTCAGTGCTGCGTGTGTCAACATGTAGAGCTTTATTGCCATGGAAGAGAAACATTTCCAGGAAAGTTAATGAAACATATTCTGTGTACTTTGTAGGGAAATACTTCACTTTCTTCTGTTGGGATGTGGTGCAAAATGAAAATTAAAAAAACAATTTGCAGCTCTCGTTAACCCGTATTTTATTCACTATAGAACATAAGAATCCTATTCACACCATAAATGAAGACTGAGACCACCTCCTCCAAAGGGTCTCAGTGCAGTCGATTTGTTTTACTAGCGTGATTACCATGTTCACATCTGCACAAGTGAACTGAGGTAAGGCAGAAGAAAACCAGTTTGATTTAAATGGAATAAACCTTCAGAGAGATTACAATGAATATCTGATCATTTAAAGTATATTCATATAATCTGGAGAATGTCTGTGTGCAAAGGACAGTTTTTATTTTACAAAGCATCCCAACTACTTTGGAAACGTGCCCATGTGTTTAGTAGTGTTATTTAAACCTGCTGCAAATACCTTTTGTGAGCAGTTGCATTAAAAACAGAGGTTGTCGTGTAATTTTGGCTACGTTGGGAGAGAGAGTTTAAAGCCTCGATGTGTTTTCTTGCTTTTGTTACCATCACTAAGATATTGTTATAAAGCAATAGGATACTACTCATTTTGGTTTTGCTAGAAATTCTGCGGTGAAATCTAGCAGCAGTGTAGTTTGCATAAGCAGATGTTAGGTCAACAGGCTAATATTTGGGTTTAGATTTAGAAACCCAAAAAGAGAGTGAATGTTTATATTAGCTTTCACTTTGTCCTCAAACTTATTGTCGTTTGCAGTTGGCTTATCTGTGAATGGCAGCTGTTAGGTGTTGGTGTGATACGTGTCTTAATTGAGAGTGCGCAGTGCCTCATTTAACCACAAAGACTGTTGTGCTCGATAAGAACTGTGGTTGGATATTTCCAAGTTCTCCTTTAATGTTTTAGATTGTACTGTGATCTAGTCTGAGATCTTAAGAAAACATTGAGTGTACACATTCGGGCATGGGGAACTGTCTGCTGGAATGGAGATAAAGGGGATAATCTGTAGTGTGAAGCCTTTGTATTGTCGATAAAGTTGATAGTTCTTTTTAGATCTGTGATAGCTGTGCAGCAGAGCCCCCTACTACAGGAGAACGTTTCCTTGAAGAGCGTGCATCAGAGTCCCTATCGCTTAATTTCAAAGCACTGTTTCTGTTAGTTGGTGACCAACTGAGATATTGAGAAGAGGGGATCTGTTATGTTTCCAGTAATGCTTATTTAATAATTGCCTGGAAGTTTTAATTTTCAGTAAAATGGATTGTTCTATAATCTTGCTCATAATTTTTAAGCTTGCTGGAGGATATGTTAATTAAAAAAAAAAAATTAGACAAACTAAATGTCATAAGTGACAGAGCTCTGAAATATTTAGAGATATTATTGTCCAACATATCTGAGAGTAGTGCTCTGAATTTTGGGATCCTCACCTTCTAGTACCATCTGGTGAAAAAGTCAGTTTTGTTTTTATGTGGTGTGACCAATTTATTTCATTTACACATTTTTTAACCACTATCTCGACTATAATTCTCATTCTGTTACCCAAAATCTATGTGGTTTTATAAATCCAGGCAATTCTCTCCAGTGTTTTGTTTTTCCCAGTTTAACATGCTAACAAGTAGCACTAAGGTGTTAAGTGTTCCTTCGAGGCTAATGATCCTGGAGCTTGAACACTAAGGAAGGAGAAAAGCACTTGGCTGGAAAGGATGTGCAGCAGGTTAGGGTGATCAAGGATACCGATGGAAATGTCATAAACAAAAGAAGAGAGTGTATTGAGAAGGTGAAAAGAGTACTTTGAGGATCTCATGAATGAAAAAAATGAGAGAGCAGATGGAGGACAGTTAGTGAATCAAGGTGTGCAGAGGATTAGCAAGGAGGAGGTGAGGCCAGATACGAAGGGTCGAAAAGAGGTTGGCCCAGAAAAACGCTCTGAAGATAATGAACCATACCAGGAGTTGTTGAAGCTAGATTAAGGAGAGACGTGACAATCAGTCAGCAGCATTATGGCTTTTTTGCACTGCAGATGCAATGTTTCCTTCTGAGAGTGTTAAGAGTACAGATCAGAAGGAGCCTCACTGTCTTTGTAGGTCTAAAGAAAGTAAATGGTGGCGTTTGAAGAGAGAAACTGTGATACTGCATGTAAAAGTGGAAGGGAAGTGAGGGTGGTGCACGACATGTATGAGCAAGAAAGATGACAGATGAGCAGGTTTAAGAGAGCTGGAGGTACACTCTCAAGAGAAGAGGAATATTTTGGACAAAAGAATAACAGCAAGAGTAATGGGGAAGGTTTGAGATGGTGAGCTGTGTGGTTTGGACACAGTGACGCTGAAAAAAGAACCACAGAGATCATTCATGAATGTAGTGAAAGAAAGTTATGTGACACAAAAAGGATGCTGGTAATAGGATGAGATGGAGGCAGATGATCCACTGTTTCATCTTCTCAAGGGAGCAGCCCAAAGGAGAGGGAAACAAAATAGTAGTAATAATAATAATAATAGTAATAATATTCCTGCTATTGTAGCAGTGCTGAATGAGTCTGTTATAAGAGGGCAGCCCACATGCTAAAATGCTGCTGCTGCAGAGGCTTGAGTTCAAATCCACTTGGATACCATTTTCTGTGGATCTTCCACACACAGAACTGTTCCTGGTGAGAAACAGACTGAACCTCATGTTCAGTGGAGTGCTCCTTTTAACGAGGAAGCATATCGCTTTGTTTATACAGCTGATACAATTAAAGCAATCCGGTCAGTCTTAAATCGTTTTTTCCCAGTTTGCTGGATGTATGCAAAACGCTAACAGCTGATATTTCATACAGCTGTCTCACAGAAATCCCATCAAGAAAGAAGAAAATGTAGAGTTAGAAGTAACCCCCTTATGGTGTATTCAACACCATATTCTGTTATTATAATAATGTAGCATTGGCCTTTATTACACTGTTTCCAGTAATTAAAACTTAAATGAGTAGATACGTGATCAGCGTCCCTCCAGTGAATAATCTTTTGGTATATGTGTGGTTACAAGTCCGTGTTTACTCATGCTAGACAGATGGCTTGACGATGTGCACAGTTAGCTGAAATTAGAAGGGCCTGTTGTTGATCTGAAAGGGTGGTAATATTTTTGGTGTGGCCTTGTGAGACGGCTAAATTTATATTCTCTGTACAAAAGTCCTCAAAAGCTGCTTACTGTGACCTTACTGTGAGGGCGAGCTAAAAGGGGAAGCCGTGCCAACTGGAGGATCAGTGAAGTGATGAGTGTTTTTTTGTTTTTTGTTTGTTTGTTTGTTTTTTAAATTAATTCGTTTAATTTTAAGCTCTGTATCAAATAGTCTAATTTTTTTTTGCTGGGGTTCTTTGCTGTATTTACATGTCTTTCTGCCGTCCTCCCTCCTCCACCACCACCTTGTGATTTGGCCCACTTCAGGACAGTTCTTTGATGTGCCCGTGCAGTTGCTAGGTGACGGCATGATTCCTGTGAATAACAGCGCTGTTCTTTTGTGCTGAACCTGTGTTATGCCCAGAATGCTGGCACAATAGGCGGCATATTTTAAGGGCTGTACAAGACTCCTCCTCCTGCTGAGCCAAGTCGTTCTCTGGAATCTTCTCTAAGATTTACAGTTCAGGCTTCTGTTACTGCTAAGAAACTGCTCTGTAGTGTGTGAAGTCTGCTTCTGGGTTCTGTGATTTTTAGGTTTCAGGTATACAGAGAATGAGCTTTTGTCTTTAGCTCTCTCTTTTTCACCTGTACAGTTTTCCAATTTCATTGTACCATTGTACTATGTATGACTGTGCAATGACAATAAAGAGTTATCTAATTATCTAACACCTTTGATTAGATCATTCATCTCACCAACTAAACCCTAGCAGGAATCATGGTCTCATAATATCTATGACTGATGCTGCGTTTATTTCCCACCATCGAGCACTAATGATAAAAAGAGGCCTAAATGTCCCCTGTTTTTTCATTTTTCTGCCCTCCCACTCTCACCCCTTTTCTTGTGATTTCTAGATCTCAGAAGCAGAAAAAAAGGACCCCAAGGAGCTAGTTGGTGAGTATACGCATGAACTCGCACGTGCTCACGCAGAATATAGAGCGGCAATTAAAGGATTAAAGTAATCCTTGTGCTCAATCTTTAACTTTGAACAATAAACTGACCCTACACAGAAGTATTAGCCCAAGCCTGTGATATATTCCCCACTGTTGTCCACAAGCTCTTAAAATGGACTTGATTTAATATTTAAAAAAAAAAAAAAAATAATAATATATATATATATATATATATAAATTTTTTTTTTTTTTTTTTATTTTTTATTTTTTTTTTTTTTTATTTTAGTGGAACCCGACTTAAAAATTAATTTCTTCCCAAGGGTCTTTCGTAAGTCGCAAATTTTCGTAAGTCGAAGCACCCATTGCACGTTTTGAGTGAGGCGATGCTGATTGATAGGCTAATTGCTAACTAGAACCACAATGCGTCGTTCAAGTGGAACAGCGAAGCGCAAGTACGGAAGCCAAGGGGTTGTCACATGATTCGGAAGGCATTGTGGGCATTGTAGGCTTGGCTGAGCCAATCAGAGCCAGCGGTTTCGTTACTCGGGCATTTTGCCGTAACACGGGCAGAAATATTGCCGTTCAGTGCCTTCATAACTTGAATTTTTCGTGAAACGGGGTATTCGTAAGTCAGGGTTCCACTGTATATACAGGGTGGGCCATTTATATGGATACACCGTAATAACATGGGAATGGTTGGTGATATTAAAGTCCTGTTTGTGGCACATTAGTATATGTGAGGGGGAAAACGCCGCAAGATGAGTGGTGACCATGGTCGCCATTTAGAAGTCGGCCATCTGGGATACAACTTTTGTTTTTTCAATAGGAAGAGGGCCATGTGACACATCTAACTTATTGGTACTGTCACAAGAAAAACAATGGTGTGCTTGGTTTCAACGTAACTTTATTCTTTCATGAGTTATTTACAAGTTTCTCTTTGTTCACAGCCATTAACATGTCGAAGAGGTTAACATGTGAGGAGCGGATCGAAATTGTGTTGATATCTGGTGAACGCAGTAACCGGGTCATTGCAGCAGATTTCAATGCAAGACACCCTACGAGACCACCCATCTCCCATGCTACAGTTAGCAAACTGCTCGCTAAGTTTCGTGAAACTGGTTCAGTGTTGGATTTGCCAAAATGTGGACGCAAGAAAACTGTCACTAATGAAGAAACATCAGTGGCTGTCCTAGCTTCATTCAGCAAGAGCCCACAGCGTAGCACTCGCCACATGTCACTGGAGACTGGCATTAGTCGAACATCCCTTCGGCGGATATTAGCTACTCACAAATGGCACCCTTAGAAACTCCAGCTACTGCAGCATCTCAACGAGGATGACCCAGATCGGCGCACAGAATTTGCAGAATGGGCAAAACAAAAATTGGAACAGGACCCTCAGTTCACACAGAAGATTTTGTTCAGTGATGAGGCAAACTTTTATGTGAATGGTGAAGTTAACAAACAAAACCACCACTATTGGTCTGACACTAACCCACATTGGATGGATCCCTCCAAGACTGTTGGAACAACAAAAGTGATGGGTTCGACATGTTAATGGCTGTGAACAAAGAGAAACTTGTAAATAACTCATGAAAGAATAAAGTTACATTGAAACCAAGCACACCATTCCTTTTCTTGTGACAGTACCAATAAGTTTGATGTGTCACATGGCCCTCTTCCTATTGAAAAAACAAAAGTTGTATCCAAGATGGCTCTGAGACTTTGCAGCGACATCAGCGGCCACCTTTGAACTCGTAACTATGTAACTGACTGTAAAGATGAATGAATGAATGTAAAGATGCAGACAAGACCAGGAGGCATTCATTGCAGTGAAATGTGGATGGCTATAATTATACTCCAGTACATTAGCCAAACTTTGTAGAGAAATACAGTTTTAACATAAACTGTATTTGAAATACAGTTTATGTTAAAACTGTCCAATATCCAGTGACTGAGTGATTATAAAGATGGTTTTCCAACAACAGCCTTGTTGCTTTGCTGGTTAGCCACATAGAGCTGAGATGGTTATTGCCTGGTTAAAGTTGTAATCTTTAATAGTTTAGTTTTATCCTTAATGAAGCCCACCTGAAATGAATTTAAAAAGATGTGATGATATATAGATGGCTGCTACGATCATCCAGGAGGTACTAAATTGCATTCGATTTACGTTAGAGCTTGATATCTTTGCAGAAAACCTGTGATTCTTTAGCTGAATGTAATCCCCGGGAAATCCACAGTTTGCCTTTTTTAGTCAGGTGTAAAAAATATATTTAAAAAAAAAAAACAAAACAATTGTTGTAGAAAATTACATTTTTTGGAAAAAGTACAGTAAAAAGTACAGTATATATTCTGACTTATCCTTTGTAGAACCTAATAGCACTCAAAGCTGAGTGCCTCAGACATGGCTGTAATTATTTGCTTAAAAGGATAATAATACATTTGTTGAATTTCTTTCAAAAATATGTGAAAGAATCAGATTTTTTAGCAATGCCAGCTGGGTGTTGGTACAGTAGGTGTATGAATCACTACCTAGACCTAGTTGACTTATTCAAGCCTCTTTGTCCACTGACTAATAAATGAAGGACTAACAAGGACCTGGCAGTGGTTGGTGAGTAATGACTGATCTGTACAGGTGTGTAAGGAAACATCAAATCAGGCAGGATATGAGTGATACAGGGAGTGGCGTTTTATACACCAACCTCTTAGACTGTAAACCTCTGGCACTGACCGTCTCTCTCTGCTGTTGGTTAATGCAGCCCCCAGCTGGCTGCGGATGATGGCACAGATTAGGCAGTGCGACACCCATTCGACATGTGCTAATGCATTGCCACGAGGGTAGACAACTCATAATTACAATTAAAATTATGTGATTTCTCATGGATTAAATGTTTTATTTTGAAAGAATGTCTCGCAGAAAACGAGTGTGAGAAGAGTTGTGTAACATATTTGTTTATAAAATGGATGAAAATCATTTTAAAAGGTGTCAGCACATCTCACTGTGTAATATCTGCCATCACTCTCCACGAGAGGAATGGCCTCTGCTCACAAATAATTTCCCGCTACCGTCACCTCTTCCAAACTTCTAGCCTGGCTCAGGCATAAAAACAAGTCCCAGAGGAAAAGGAGATGCACTAGCGCGATTTTAAAGCTTTCAAAGCAGTTGCTATTGCCACGAGTGTACTGTAGTGTCAGTGTGACTCATAGCCTGAGCCCGGACCCTTGGCATTCCTGCAGTGGAGCTCGGCTCCTCCGTCTTGTCTGTCAGTAAATGTCACAGAGCATCTGGCTAAAAGCCTTCTGTCAGCAAGCTGAAGATGGCTCTTTGTCTGTTTACTGAAGGGACGGACATTGTCTGCCTTTCCCAGAAAAAAACCCCAGGGCACAGACTTTGACTTTCTGTCTGTTTTTAGGAAGACAGATGGTGATTTAGAAACAGAATATAATCTTTTCTCTGTCTGTTTATTACTCTCAGATTCTTCCTGTTGTTTGAGAATATTCCTTCCCATGCTGAGCTGAATAATTAGCAGGGATTTATTTATTTTTGTATTTATTACACAGGCTGTGATTTATTCACACTCACACTGCTACTACCATCCGACGCACTTTAGTGTTTAGAGTTTGTACAAGGGCACAAAATTGTGAAGTAAATCTCAGGTTGTTTTAAGTGGATTAGCAGGCTTCCACACTGTTAAACCTTGTTGCAACAGCACTGTTAGACAGTGTTTGCAAGTCTTTGTGTAGAGAGAGTTTTATAAAATACCAAGCTACCACCTAATGCCTCTGAGTCATCGGACTTGCCTTGTCAGGTTTTTATTGTTTGGTGCTACAGAAGTTTTCTGTCTCTAATAACTGAGGTTTAGTGCCACAGACTATTTACACAAGACCAGTTCATGTTCACGTAACTGAATATCTCTGTATATCTCTATATATCTCTAAACTAGTTCACATCTTAGGCATGCGTATGAACCTATGCACATGCATGCTCAGCTTTACTTTTGTGTCTAGCCAACAGAGGGAACGCCCTGCCCCTCCTTTACTCCAACGGGGGAGGTTAACTATAACCATATCAGTTATCCAACAAAAGGGAAAGAGAGGTGCTCCGCCTCTTAGTCTTCTGACATGCGGGCAATCGGTGCACCAAAACAGTATAGACATGTGCGCCTCTGTGGACCCATATGATCATGATCAGCAGGCTGATGAAGATAGAAAATGATTAGCATCGTGTCTGCACACGAGCAGAGTTCAGCTCTGGCACATGTTGCTTAACTGTGTTGCAGTAATGTTTCTGCTCACATAGAGCAGTCTCCATTATTTCCAAACACAGGTTTTCCACTTTGCCTAAGTCCATTTTAAATGATGGCTTGCTAAGAGAATTGTCTATTTTTAATCCTGTAACACCTGAAGGGGAGCTCAGGTTTGGTTTTTGGTCTTGTGTCAGGAATTTGAATATATACTCTGATAAATGACTTTGGGTCTAACGGGATTTTTTCCCTTATGTTCCCTGATTGAAAGCTGGGTGGGATGTTTTCTTTTGAATTGAATAAAAACATTAAATATAAGAATAAAAGTAATTGGGTTGTGCGTATGTGATGATGGGATTTTGCTCTGCTCTGTAAGCTAAAGTGTGAAACAAGACACAGTAAGCACGTTCTTTTTGGTCTTTTCATGTCCAGTCAGGTTCTTACTTGTCAGTGTTCTTCACAGAGCTTCAGCAGACACGAGTTCCTCCATCTGCACATACATGCACACTTGCAGCATCTACTCACCGAAGTACTGACAGCTCTAAATGACTGTGTCTGTGTGATTAAGAGTTAGTGACACAGAAGAATGCCTGGCCTGCAGTCAGAGAGAGCAGAGGGAGACAAGTCGAGCAAAACAAAGGAGACGAAAGGAGTCTGCCTTCTCTATACAAGCCCCAACAGCAGCCACTCCCTGCCTGGGACATGCTCTCTTCATACCACACTGCCCTGTAAAACTTACTGGCACACACTTAGGAGTAAGATGAACACAAGGGTGCTCAGGAATTCTCCAGTAATACTTTGACGCACATTAATCGAGTTTCTTCTCCAATTCATGTCCGTATTCCACCACCACCTCTCCAATTTCTCATTTGGTGGATGTACTTCTACATTTTAGCCGTCTAACGTAGCTAATCCTGCATGTAAAGACACGCAGGGAAAAGCCACAGAGGTGAAAGCACATTAGGCTTATGTTTATTTTTCTTTCCTTCCAGCTCTGTTTTCAGAAAAGGTGAGAAACATGTCACCTGACGAGATCAAGATCCCCTCCGAACCCCCCGGACGCTGCTCCAGCCATCTACAGGTACCCAACACCACTGCTAAACGTTCTCTTAACCACATACATTTCACTTGCAGCACACGCTTTAATGCTGTTGTATCATGCAAGCAGCTTTAGTAACACCACTTAGGCCACAGTTATGCCTGCTAATCAGATTGGGGGGGGTGTGGTTAAAGCTGGGGTTTGGGGTTTTATAAGGGCTTGATTGAATAATCTGGGGTTTTGTAGACTTGTTTATGTGCTGGATTTACTACTTTCCAGGTAGTAAATTCATCCTCCTAAAAGAACTTGTCATTAGCTTAAAAAAGAAGAAATTGGTTCCATGGGGAGAGAAAACAGTCTGCGTTCACAGCCTTGGCATAAGATCAGATTTAGAAACCAAGACTTGAAACGCTAAAGGTTCGAAGCTGCCTCATCCACACACGAAACATATGGGATATTTATGCACTGAAAATAACCTCCTGTTGACGCCAAGCGACTCATTTAGCTTTCACTTGTTCCCTCTCGGGTTAGAAATACATTCTGGTGGCGACATAAATCCTGAGGCGCACCCCTGTAATTAAACCGGCACACAGTGTCATCCTCAGTCTGCTCAGCATCACCGCCGCTGATTTCTTTTCGTTGCTTTGCATTTTCGGCGCTTCCAGCTTCAGTCAGTTAGGTTTGTCTTCTGAGGAGCAAAGGCAGGTCAGGACATACAGCTGACTTAGTAAGTGAACAGCTCAGCAGTATCCCCTCTGGGCTGACACTCCCCCACCTATCAGACGAACAGCTAATGATTCACCTTCACCATAACAGCCTGGATATCCCTGCCCTCTGGGCTCAGAGGAGCTGCAGCACATGTACTCTCACAGTATGGCTTAATTGGATTTCGCAAATATTCTGTTTTTCCTGTCAATTCACCAGCGCTGGAATGTAGCCACTTTGTGAACTGTTTCCAAATGCCTTTTGCAATCATACCGCGACCTTGAGATTAGAGCAGATTAGAGCGATCCACTGGCTGCCAACTCACTGAGCTCAGTCTGAAACTCGGATATCTCTGGAAAAGATTTGTGTTTTAGGAAAAGCTGACCACAATATCTGTTTTTATTTTTTATAAGTCTGCATTTGACAAAATTTTGCTGCTGGAAATTCAAGTGAAACCTTCTGAGGGAGAGGCAGGAAGTGTCCAGACTGGTCCAAAGCAGAGCAGCAGAATCACTATCATGTGTTAGCCTAATAAAAAAACAACAACAACAAAAAACACTTGCAACAGCTCCAATAGTTTTATCAGTCACCAGTAGGTTTGTTGGGGCTTTACATCAGTGTAAAGTAGATATTTGACTATTGTACCTGTTATAGAGAGTGTGTCAAATTGGAAGACTTGTAAAGATGTGTTTTCTTTTGTAGTTTAAAAGTTAAAATGTGACAACATGGTGTAGACAGTCTGCAGCAAGTGTCACTCATAGTTTCCTCTTGTGCATTTTTGGCTACTTCTTTAATAAAAAGAGAAATAACATCACTGCCAGTGAGTGCTTAAATGCTGACAGTCGTCAGCTATACTTGTATAGGTTATCTCATAGGATCTACATGCATCAGTGCAGAAGTATAAATGAAGCTTCTAATGTCATTTGTCCAACCAAAGTGGTACAACACCTAAGGGTTGCTCTCTAACAAATGCATAACTTGTAATTACAATTTAAGTGGGGCATACAGTTACTTTAAGGGTGCAGAGTGTTCATAGTGACAATGCTGTGAGCATGTTTGTTTTTGCATTTTCTGTGGGAGTTTATAGGGATGGACTCATCCTGGAACAAACTGCATATTTTGGTGCTGATCTATTCGCGACATGCTCGCTGCTTGCCTTCAGCCATTAACCTTGTTTATTTCACTGTTTATTGACATCCTATTTGTGGTTTTACATGTGGCAGAGGGATGCTTATTGAACCTTGAAAGTAAATATAATTCATTATAGTCCAGATATGTTTAATATTAGTGTGCTTGTTAATCTCAAGAATCCACACAAGATATTTTAATTAAGTCGGGGATTTATTGTGCACATTTAAAGAGTTTACTTGAGGAAGGTCAGAAAGTGCGTCTTCAAAAATAATTTTTTGTAGTTGTTTACATCAAATTATCCAGCCAATAGGGATGGCTTTTTAGAAAACACTAATATTAGAAGCACAGGAATTCGTTTTGTTGCTGTTAACACAGTAACAGTGGACCTAGACATGTAGTGATGATAGAGATACCTCTATGGATGAACAAGAGCACTATCCTCTTATTTCTTCTTTTTCTATATTAAGACCTCATGCATCACTGTGGATCTGGGTACATGTGCCAGCTCTATGTGGTTTAGTTGAACGTGGATGTGAAATATTACTCCGCAAATTCAGGAAACTCATCTACAGTAACTCCATTCCTGGTATAAACATGTTGTTTATTTCCTAAGTGACACTGCATTGTGACACAAGTGAAGTGAATTGTAACAGCGGCGTGTGTGTGTGTTCTCTTCCTTCACCAGTTTGTTTGTTTTGTAACAGGAGAAGATTCACAAGCTGTATGAGAGGAAGCTCCATGGAGATTTTGACACAAACGCCCATATCCAGCAAAAGAAGGAATTTAGAAACCCAAGGTATGCAGCTCAGCTGGAGAATGCACCCACACGGTCAAACGCACACATGGGCTGTCAGCTACACGTGACAGCAGATGTACTGTTTGACTCTTATGAAGCTCCTCTTTGTTTTCAGTATTTACGAGAAGCTCATTCAGTTCTGCGCCATAGATGAACTGGGAACCAACTACCCAAAAGATATGTTCGATCCTCATGCCTGGTCGGAAGACTCTTACTATGAAGCTCTCGGTAAGTCTTTTTATTTTCGCTTACTTGTTCTTTGTGATTTCATATCAGCGCTCATAATTGCTTTTAATCCTCCAGCCAAAGCTCAGAAGGTGGAGATGGACAAACTGGAGAAAGCCAAGAAGGAACGGACCAAGGTGAGCCTAACGACAAAGAAGAGTGGATTACTCTGTCAGTCTGCATCAGGGGCAAGTCTCCACCAGCTGTACTTCATTTCTACTTTACCTCCATCTGACACACAGAAATCAATGTTGCCAAGTTGAGCTCTCGTAACAGCAGCTCGGGCCCAGCCCAGGGCAGATGTACTTGTCGGCTTCACCCATTCTGGGTTGCTACATAAAAATCAACTGCTCCCCCCACCCCCCCAGTATGTCTTTCTTTGCTATGGATTCTTTTGACTTTATGCTGGGCATCATTTCAGACAGCTAAATGCTGGGGGTGATGGGAGTTTCCAAGGACAATGTTGTTTAAAAACATAGTGATACCTGCTGCCATCAGCAGCATCATTCCTGCTGTTGCACTGAGCTGGACTTGAATGAACATGTAGAGCACAGCAGCTATTCTGCCTGATGTGAAATGAACTCACTGTTATGTAGCTACAGTATTCAAGCTAAGAGACATCAGAGCTGTTCACAGTATTTGTAGTTGTGCAAAATGCTTCGCTTACATATTATTGTAACCTCTGCTGTAGATTCTTAAGTTGAGCTTTTCAGTGACTGCGGTCAAGTTGTTTTTTTAAACAATAATAAATCAAACAATTTAAACCAGTGTTTTAATATATGTGTGTGTGTGTATGTGTGTGTGTGTGTTGTTGTTTTTTTCCAGATTGAGTTTGTCACGGGGACTAAGAAGGGCACCAACCCCTCCAGCACAGCAGCCTCCACCACCAGCAACACCACAACTACATCCACAGGTAAAGCACTGCAACATCTGCTAGCTTCAGCTGCTCCAGTAGTAGTGTGATCAGATTGGACCTCAGGTGTACACGAACAAATGAGGCTATTGGGTTAGTGAGGTACAGTCCAAAAATCTTAAGCCACTTCTTATTTGTTTCTATTTTGCTTCCAAGAAGCTGGCTCTTCTTTTTCTTTGTGCTTTTTCAGGCTTTTTTTGTTTGGTAAGCCATTGTTACAGATAACAGACACAGTAGCAAATAAACAATTTTAAAATTAATATCATTTTTAAACGCTTTGTTGCTAGCAGGCGGTCACAAAAATGAGATGAATGATGCATCCTGCCAATCGGTTAATCCAGAAAACACAGACCTGCTCTTACTGACTCCTCCCCTGTGTTTACTATGTCACAGATGCCCAGAAGAGGAAAAGTAAGTGGGACTCTGCACTCCCTGTGACCCTGGCCCAGCCCACCCTCATCACAACCACAGCCACGCTGCCCGCCGTCGTCTCTGTGACAACAACAGCAAGCGGTACCAAGACCACCGTCATCTCCGCAGTGGGTACCATCTTAAAGAAAGCAAAGCAGTGAGGATGATGAACGGGCTGCAGCGTGACCGACGCCCTGTATTGTGCTGCAGCCGTTATATGTGTGAAAAGTGATGGACACATTTTCAGAACCAGCCCACAAATTCTTTCTGCTCCTCGTGGACTCACAAAGACTAAAAACTGCCTTCTATCTCTGGGATTGTATCTGCAATTATGGCATCACAAAGCCAAACTGACCGCGGGGACAATACTCCTCTGTAAATCTGATGCATGCAGATCTTTCTAAACAAGCGACTATGTCATTGTGCTTTTTTCTTTTTCTTTATTTGATGGCAACATTTGTTTATTTAAGACAGGAAATTGTTGAAACTGTAAAAGGGTCCCTCACAGAACAGATGTAGTTAAAATGTCTGAAGTTTATTTTTCTATACATAGTTGTGGTACAGTATTTTCATGCCTGCTGTAGCACTCGATTGTAATCGTTCTTCTGTAGCACTCTGAGCTGAGATGTTTGTTTTTTTGTTTTTTTTTTACTCTTGTACGTATGTATTGATAAGAAGGTGAATAAATGGATGAGATGTTGCCTTTTCACTTGGTTTCTCGTCATTTGCGCAAACTGTGATCACTCAGTCCTCTGTCATTTCACATATGGCTGCTTCTAGGAGAGCGTTACGTCTTTGTGCTTTGAAAGGACGCTCCGTGGTTATCCAGGAACAAGCTCTTATTGACTGCACACATTGGCCTGAATCTGGACTGAAGACTCTCTCTGGCTTTCGTGCAGATGCCGCCAACACATTCAAACAGTTTCTATCTTTCAGGGCGAAGCATCTGCGTTCCAGGTGAGGTTATGCTCACTCTAACCTCACACTCCTCATCTGACTTCTCTAGAAAGGGGAGTGTCAAGACATTTATGTGATTATGAGGTACTGTAGTGGGTTAAAGCTGGCAAGAATCAGCAGGCTCTGAATTTTAAAGCAGCAGCACGTCCCATTGAGTTATTTTTAAAAGCTGCACATAGTTTTTCATAACCTTTCATACTTGGAAGGTGGGTGCAGTCCTTTAACTTGCCTAACTAAATATCTGAAATATGCAAAAGTAAATGTCTTCCTTGTTTTCCGGTTGTTTATCAGAACCTCACCCTGCGATCCCAGTCATGATGTTGTCGTATAATCATCCATGATGGCCTGCAATTAGACTGATGTAAATATACTGTGCACAGCTTTGCGATTAACTTTATACTTTGTCCTCAATCACAAGCTGACTTCCTAAATTGGCTCTCACTCATTAAACCTTTGGTATTAGAGGCTGGAGAAGACTCTGCGTTCTGAATCTGAGCTGTCGGTGCGACTCCTGAGGGAGGTTTAAAGTGCAGATTATGGTTTAGCACTGACTCATTTATGACATTCAGTTGAATCATACCCACATTTGGCCACAAGCCTCTATAGAAGTCATGCATTTGGTAGAGTTGCATGTTCGTGTTCTTATTGCATCTCAACATGTTTTTGCAGAGCCTGGAATGCAAATGAATGGCTGAAGACTGCTGGTGGCACAACTGTGATTTCTCCAAGCTTCAGTGATTTAGGATAGAGGAAATACAATTAGAGCCAGACTGGAGCTGATTGGATAGTTGTTTTATCACGTTTGGCTGATGTTATCTGACTTGAAAGCTTATAACTTGAGCCCTGTGCTTTGGCGGGGCCTGCCCTGTAGTGCTCTGTTTGTCCCATAGTCATGCCTTGCAGGTTCCTGGGAGCACCTGGCAAGTCCTCCCTGAGCATTTAATAGCTGGAAGTTGCAGTCTTAGATCTCTCCATTGACTCAGCGTTATGCTATTTGCTTCATGGGCTTTACTTCAGCTTTTACAGTTTACACCACCAGACTCTTGATACATTTAATATTCAAACAGTCATCCAACTGCTAAAACCCTGATAACACTGGTAGAATTTGGACAGTGAAAAGTTAAAGGCCCCTTTTTCCTGAAAACTGTCACATTAATTCAGCCATCTAGAAGTTAAAATATACATATGAAAATGGGCATGTATATACAGTGGGGCAAAAAAGTATTTAGTTCCCCCACCTAAAATGATGACAGAGGTCAGTAATTTGCACCAGAGGTACACTTCAACTGTGAGAGACAGAATGTGAAAAAGAAATCCATGAATCATGGTAGGATTTGTAAAGAATTTATTGGTAAATTAGGGTGGAAAATAAGTATTTGGTCACCTCAAACAAGGAAAATCTCTGGCTCTCACAGACCTGTAACGTCCTCTGTAAGAAGCTTTTCTGTCCCCCACTCGTTACCTGTATGAATGGCACCTGTTTGAACTCATCATCTGTATAAAAGACACCTGTCCACAGCCTCAAACAGTCAGACTCCAAACTCTGCCATGGCCAAGACCAAAGAGCTTTCGAAGGACACCAGGAAAAGTATTGTAGACCTGCACCAGACTGGGAAGAGTGAATCTACAATAGGCAAGCAGCTTGGTGTGAAAAGCCAACTGTGGGAGCAATCATCAGAAAATGGAAGACATACAAGACCACTGATAATCTCCCTCGATCTGGGGCTCCACGCAAGATCTCATCCCGTGGGGTCAAAATGATCATGAGAACGGTGAGCAAAGATCCCAGAACCACACGGGGGGACCTGGTGAATGACCTGCAGAGAGCTGGGACCAAAGTAACAAAGGTCACCATCAGTAACACACTACAACGGCAGGGAATCAAATCCCGCAGTGCCAGACGTGTTCCGCTGCTGAAGCCAGTGCATGTCCAGGTCCGTCTGAAGTTTGCCAGAGAGCACATGGATGATACAGCAGAGGATTGGGAGAATGTCATGTGGTCAGATGAAACCAAAGTAGAACTTTTTGGTATAAACTCAACTCGTCGTGTTTGGAGGAAGAAGAATACTGAGTTGCATCCCAAGAACACCATACCTACTGTGAAGCATGGGGGTGGAAACATCATGCTATGGGGCTGTTTTTCTGCCAAGGGGACTGGACGACTGATCCGTGTTAAGGACAGAATGAATGGGGCCATGTATCGTGAGATTTTGAGCCAAAGTATTGAGTTGTATTTTTGTTATTGACCAAATACTTATTTTTATTTTACTAATTTTACTAATTTACAAATCCTACCATGTGGATTCATGGATTTTTTTTTTTCACATTCTGTCTCTCACAGTTGAAGTGTACCTCTGGTGCACATTACTGACCTCTGTCATCATTTTAAGTGGAGGAACTTGCACAATCGGTGGCTGACTAAATACTTTTTTGCCCCACTGTAGCAGTATATTTGTTTTTATGTTTAGGTGTTTTTATAAACCTTCATACACAATTAAAACCTTAGTAAGGTTGATTATTCATTTCTATTTTGTTTTTTCTTTTTAAACCTTTTCCCCTTGGGTTATAATTCAAAAGGAACAAGAGAGGGCACACTTTGGAGGTGAGCCCGCCAGACACACCCAATGTACAGCTTGTGCTGAGCAGGTTACAACTTTACCCCATTTATCCACTGTCATCACGATATGACTCAAAAATGTGTACACAAAAACCCTTATGTTAATACATTTTAAAACTTGTGTTAATGTAGCTAAACCTGATTTAAAAAAAAACAAACCCTGAGCCACTATTTAATAAAACTCCATTTTTCCCCCTAACCCTAATTAACAGCTAGCTACAAAGGAGTACACGGCTATAAAGTAAAAAAGTATTAATATTATTTTGAGAAAAAAAAAAGTCAAAATGTGAACATTACAGTTTATTTTCTTAATGTGGTCCTAATACTCCCTAATACTAGCTAAACCTAATTAAAACAAGTGTTACTTTTTCTGTTAGCATATAGCATTTTACCCCTAAAATGACAGAGTAGCTGTGTTTTTATTGAGGTAATTATTCACATAGTCTGCGTTACTACATGTCAACCTCATTAACACAGCTTTCTATTACAATGTAAAGGGTAGTTATTTGTGCTTTTATAGAGATATTTGACATGAGGAAATTTTTGTTGCTACACTTCAACGCACAGTTTTACCAAAGTTATTAATTGGTAGCATGATTGTTTTGTAGCATACATGGTTGCAAAGCTGTGTGTGAAATGTGTGCGTAGTAGCAGATTTATTAGTGGGAAGAAGAAGAACGGGGAGACGCCATTATAAGTGGTGAATGAACTCAGTGATCCAACAAGCGCAGTTTTTGTCATGTAAATTGGCAAAGAGTGGGCCAGTGACTCAGACTGAAACGTGGAGAGGGGAGCTGGGAAATGGGGACATTCTTGTTGGGCTTCTTGTCTGAATCCAAAACTTTACCCCTTTCTTTCCAGCTGCCTGCGGTAGGGAGAAAACCAGCTCCATCAATTCTGCAGATGAGTCCAATTCACGACAGGAGCATCGTGTAAACAGTAAGTAATGTCTAAACTCATAATCAGCATGTCTGCATATGCAGGAACCAGCAGTGTATTTGTGGTCCTTGAACGGTTTATTATCAATTTTACCTTTAGTTCCCACTGAGGGTGAATCATGGTAACTGACTGGTATATGTATAACCATGTATGTACATGTATAATTAGCACAAAGCTTCTTTCACATGATCCCTTGCTTGATTGTACAAACGATACAGCAGGTGTGCCACACCTTCCCCTTAACTCGTTCAACATCTGAAAGGGCTGTTTAGATTGGCATCTCTCCTTCAGCATTAGCCAAAATACAAAAAGTGTTGAATAAGAAGAGTTGTTTCTAACAAGTTTTGTTCCCCTGGAGAGTCAGCCATTGTCTCAAACCAGATCTGGTTGCTAGGAGTGTATGTCCCCATTCAGGCTGCTCATGTTGTGAAAGGGAAAAGAGATGTTTTCACATTTAAGTTTGAGTCCTTAAATCCCAGATCTGGTCCACGCGTTGGATAAGATGTGATGCGGAGACAGTAAGTGATTGTGAATAACCTTTAACACCTGATGTGTGGTCTGCTGGAGAGCAGAGGAAAAGGCTTTCCAGATAAATACACATAAAATTGCTCAATTGGACTCTGCCCCTTACTGGAATTTCTGCTACTTCCTTTTGCAAACTTCATGCAATGCAAGAAATTTATTAAAGAGCAAAAACTTAGACTGAAGCAAAGATTAAAGGGTTAGTTACAGTAAAAGGGCAGAGCGGGGGTTTACTGAGAACGTTTAACAACAAAACAGTCCAATGATTAATGAGAATCCTGACATCTAAACAAAAAAGCCTGA